TAGAGAACTAGTAGCGCTGAAAACTTCTTAATTCTATTTTTTTTATTCTAAATAATTGAAGAGAAAGAAAATATCTTTTGAGTATTAGATATTCATACATAAGCATAAAGTTTTTATGAAGCTATTCTCTTCTGTTGTACAAAATCTGTTTAACAATAGGTGAAACGCTGACGTTCGAAATGAAAAAGCCGATTTAAGGAAAGAAATAGTTTTTCATCAAAATAGATACGAAGAAGTAATTACTTTTCTGGCGATCATCAGAGGAACATTTTATTAATGTTTATTATTAATATCAAAAAGAATTATTGCAGCAAATCAAAGAAAAATCTTTGCACATAGATAGAGAATAGAAGTTCTCATAGAACTGAAAGCACAAATCGTGTATAATATCAAAGTAGTCAGCATCTTTCAGGTTAGTAGTCACTTCAAAACCAAATATGTTAGATCATAGTTATTCTAGAATTCTTTTACAAATTTTATCGCTAAAAAAATTCTTGTAGTCCTCCTCAAGGTCCTAAGCAAAAAATATGTTTACTCCAAATTATTTTCATTGATTAGTTTAAGTTATTTCTTTTTATGTATTTGAGATATATACACTTGACTTGACAAACCCACATAGGTTTCATTGAAATTCCAGAGAAACACCCAGAAACTTTCCCTCGTTAGTTAATAATCGATTTATAAGTTGTATGAGATTTTCTCATAAGACGTATATCTGTATATACATATATAGTGAAATGTCTGTCTCGTCTTTATCTAATAGAAACAACCAATTAGATTTTAAGGGCGTTTTTTTCGCTATCTCTCGGTGTAAGGCTTAGTTTTGTTCTAGCCAACTAAGAACGATTGCTAGGAGCTACGAATTCATTGTCACGACATTAGGTCGATTCATCACTGTTATGAAATGAAATCGTTAAAATCTCTAGTATAGAGTCAGTGTTAAGATCAAATCATTAGGTGTAAGCAGCTTAGATACAAATTTAGCACTTGAAGCTTAGGTTTAACGATGAGAGCTCAACGATTGGTGGTTGACAGTCCAAAGTTGAAGATAAAATGCAATGTACATGGAAACTCACTAGTATAATATACGAAGTAAAAGTACAAAATTTAATAATTTACTGTTAACTTAGTATAAAGAAATATGACTTATGAAACGATCACATGATCTTACATTTTTCATATGGGAGTCTAAGAGTTTTAAGATTAATCTTTTATATCTCTCAGGATGCAGTTATAAATGGATGTTGAGCAACCATTGAGAATCAAACTGTAATGGGCTAAATTATAATGACATGAACTTGACTAAAGCCGATTTCGTGCATAGAATTGGACAAGATTTATTGGTCTGTCTTCGTGTTATAGTGAGCTTCGAAATGGTTCTTCGATGCTAAGATTTTCGATTTATCTTTTGTATTTTTAGAAAAATGATAAAACTATAACTAATAACTAGTGATAATGTAGAATAGAAGATAGACATTGATCTCTACTAATCTATTTAAAGAATAACGATTCATTTTAATATAAAGCTTCTTACAGTCACTGATGACCTGAATATGAACTTGTCAAACACAAAACTTTACATCAACAAAAATATCGAAATAACCGCTGACCAAACGGTGGCTAGAGTGTCTTTACTCATTTGTATATTCGATAAGAATCATGTTCAATTGTTGATGAAACAACATTAAAAGTTTCCACAACTATATCAGTTCAAAAGTCAATGCTAAACTCACTTTGTTTAACTTAATCAAACGACTTGATTAGTAAGCGTCCTGAAAATGCCAAGTTTGTCAATTAGTCGATTGAATGAAAATAGATTAAAATGTATTTTATAATTTTTGTTTTATGATAATATTTGATAATCTTAACGATAAAAAAAACAGTGATATCTGATGAATACGAGTATTACATTGTTAAATCTAAAATAAAGAAATTTGTCTTTTTTTATAAACAAAAGAAAAAGAATATTTTTTATTTCTTTTATTTTTGCTTGACATTTAATAGAAAAACAAACGACCATGATGAAGTAACTTCGTTGTCAATTATATTCTGGTCAATATCAATTAAAACCTTCGACTTGATATTAGTAACAATTTTACGAATAATGATATTCATCGTTGTTTAACATCAAACTATTATCCCTCAACGGATCGGTGTTTTAATCTACGTCGTTTGGATATTCGAATTAAATATACATGTTTTCTTGAAAATCTTATTGAACATGTGCCAAATCTTGAACAATTGTCAATTCAATTTAAGTTTTCATTAAAATTTGATATATTATGGAAAACAAATTTTGAAATATTGGAACAATCAAATGAAAATTGGTTGAATAAAGAGAGAAGGAAAAATATCGAGCTTTTTGTTAGATGAATTTTCACAAAAAGAAATTTTGTTTAAAAAAAATAGAACAATTGAATTACTTTTTTAGATACCAAAACTCTGATGTTTTAGTTTAAAAACATTGATCGATAACAATGAAGAATTTATTAATTTGAAATGGCTATTGCATAATTTCAATCAGAGCTGCCGGCCTGGCCTGCTGCCTGGCAGGTCCCAGGCCGTCCACCAGGCCAGGCCGAATTCTGAAATTTTTAGCCTGGCCTGATCCGTCCAAATAATATTCGGCCTGGTCTGCAGGCCAGGCCAGGCTGAAGTTGTTGGCTTGCAGGCTAGACCAGGTCAAAATGATCAGCTTGTCTATGTGAAAATTTAAAAAAAATTTAACGATTTAACGAAAAGAGGGCATAACATTTTTCACTATTAATATGTGCTAAACGCTCTTTTTAACAAATCTCATTTGTTAATTCAAGCTAAACTATTTCTGTCGAGTTAGAAGGTGTGGAATTTCGTTAAAAACCAATTTTTAACGTGTTTTCAGATATATAACTGTAATATCTTTTCTCGTTAAATCACAGAATACTTATTCACTTTTACTTGAGTGGTTCCTAAGTTTTGAAGATCAAATATTGATGCATGGGCTTATTATTCGAAACTGATTTAATAAATTCATGCGATTGTAGCGGTCAAAACTTGTACTGAACATTAATTTAGTGTTATAGGATCTATATTCACTCACAGAAGAGCTTGTTTAGATTCAGAACAAATGGATAATAAATTTTGTGATCGTGTATTCATAAAAATTGATTCTTAAATAAAAATCTCGTTGCCTCCCATCATAAGTAACACTTATTGCCGATATTTTTGTTCTGTGTTTTCTTTACCTATTCATTCTNTTCGGAATATAACGAAAGTTCATGAAATTTTCTTCGTGAAATTTCGTTAATTTGCCTTTTAACGCATTTTTTTGTGTTAATTTCAAGAATCATTTCGTTAAATACCTTTTTATTTTTACATGGGTGGAACTAGAAATTCACTTGGAAGCGAAGAAAGAAGATGTGGGAGAAAAGTTTGGACATTGAGTGACCACTTGATCACAAGCTAAAGAATTGTACTTTCATAGACTCTTATACTCCCACTCTGTAGGCGCACCCTATACCAGCCTATACCCACACCTAGAACCAACATACTTGATTTCTGCTTAGCATTGACTTCCAATTTCGTTGTACTCTTCGATGGCTCCACTGTGACCTTCTGTAAAGTAGCGGTGGCACCATATTTCCATTTTTCTTGTGCATCTGAAAGAAAACCATAACATTTTCGATATTAATCGGAAAGAAAAAGACATTGCTGTTTATTCTTCACTCTATAAATGACGCAATACACGTGAAGTTTAATCTTTACTCCTTTCTACCATGAAATGTGTAGGATTAGTTTCAGTGAAAAAGAAGCAAGCGAAATTTATCGAAAAAAGAAGACGCATAAAAAGTTTCATGCTCATGAAAAGAAAATGTTTACAACTAGAAGAATAAGAGAATGATCATTTCGGTTCTGGAATCATGTGAAAAGTCTTTGTGTCAGGGCGCTGCTCAGGTACTAATCAATCTACTCAAGATGAGTCGACTAATGATAAGACGACACACCTACTGCGCGATAGCATTTGAATATAACCGAAAATCGACTTACGCTTAAGATCAATCGTTTTCGTCTGATTCACCGATGCTCTATCGTTCCTTGCTCGAACTTCCTAAAGATATCGTAACCTTCATGTAGATTCCAAAAGGAACGAAGAAGGTTGCAACTAGCTAAAGACTCTATTGGTTTCCAGTTGTTGTGTGAATTTCTCAATAGAGATCGCATATGAAACGCAATTTCTGAACTTTGTTTTTTTTCGCCTAGTCTGATTGTTCTCTGTAAGTTACACGGCTGACGCTGATCGATCAAGTCAACTACGCTTTACCATAACAAGTGTGTTCCTTCAAATTTGACTTTAGTGCACCATAACCCAGTCGTCTTGATAGTCGTTCTTCCTCATCAATTTCACTTTCTCATTCGCTTATCTTGCTCATACATCTGTTATTGGTTTTGAGATCTGCGTGGTTTCAAATCTGTGGATCACTTTTCAATTCTCTTTTAGATTTCTATGACATTATTAGTTTGTCCAAGACTGCTAGCATTTTTCACAGTTATCCTTGATGACAGTAAATCTATGTTGACAACTCATGGACTAAAGCAAAATGATTTGTTTCGTACGTTGTGCTACTTCTTGAATTTCCTTTCGGAATACTCTGCTGACTATAAACCGCACACAGTGAAAAAGTGATGTTCACATATTCTATCTACACGGTGAAAGTTTGTGTACCCACTTCCGATCTAAAAACTGACGTTTCTGATTTTCAGAGTTCAAGAAAAAAACTGCTTTTGAGCTGCTTCTATATGCATAGAGTTATATGGTAAGTGGTGTTACTAATGCTATGGGACGGAATGATGAAAAAAATGACCTTCGTGGGACTTGAGCTCATACATTATGCTACGCAGACGGATGCCTTAAGCTAGTTAGACCAGAAGGAACATCTTAATCTTTGTTTAGCATCAGAGCGTATCATCACTGATGCTAACAGCATACCTATACTTCCAGAATGATTCTTTTAATGAAGTTATCAACGTTCGGCAAAATGGAGAACACGAAAATCGAAATAGAATGCTCTCTTCTTACGTGGAGATGTTGCTGTCCACTGAGAAAGGATCGATATTGGCTGTAGAAGTGGATACTTTGGTTTTGTTTCTTTAAGTTGAATCGTATGAAGGTCGTTACCTTGATCTAGACAACCCACGACGGTGAATTGTGTCGCAGCGAGAAGTAGCATTTCGTCTTCTTTTGGATAATAGGAATGTTTTTGTATGTTTTTTCCGGAATCGCATTCAATCGTAAACATTGTTCTCGTTCCTTTGGTACCCAGAAATAGTTCCGATTGTAAAACCTTGACGGAGACAGTGCAAGAAGAAAAGCCCCACCAAAAAATTGTTCTACCTTCTGGATAGCTCCGATGTAAATCTGATTTGACTCCGCGAAAAAGAAACTGATGTTGCGACGGAAGTTGTGATAAAGCCGTGAGAAAGAGTTTGAGATAAAGAAACCACGGTTCGAGTTTGTTTCTATCTTGCGATCGAAGATTCGCATTCAATGCAACATAAAGGCATTTATCAAGTGGCTTCCATCCCATTGTATAAAGCATAATCGAAGCCGATTCGTCGATGGTCAAACCATCTGGTGGTGGATTTTTACATCGTTCTTTGGCAGCATACGCATAACTTTGAACAGCAGGTAATAGAGAAACAAGAGGTTCGACGGCTATTTCGAGCGGAACAATCGGCATTTCTTCGTATCCACTGATAGGCATCAGCATTTCATTGGGTTCTTTGGTAATATCCGATATTCGTAAAATGCGTTGCGCACTATCACCGTGACCAGTTTCAGTCATGTTGAGGACGAATAAATTGTTAATCACTTGTTCTGTAGTTAACCTTCTCTAAAGACGGAAAAATAGCACTATAATTTTAGTGTTTACTAGAACGTTTCGTTGTACGAATTCAAAAGCTGGTCTGAACTAGCATCTTTCTTCTACTCACTAAATAATCGAACACTATTTTCTCAGATACAAGCATGTTTGAGCTACTCAAAGGACAGAAATTGATGTCAATAGCAATGTTGACATTTTTGATTACTTCATTTCTTTGAGTGATTTTATAAATGAAAGGCATTCAGGATTCACTTCATTCTAGGACCGAGATTGTCAGTGACCGTCTGCCACCGTCGAAAACACAAGAAAAATCGTCGACTTCGAAATGTCAAACAGTTACTATGTACTAGAGGACGGCCTGAAACGAAATGGATGAACGATATTCTCTCTTGCTTCATCTGTGAAGGAAGTACGCGATCGATCAAAACGCAGATACATTTATTCCAGCGATAAAGTGAAAGTAAGCAAAACATCCTAGATTATATTGAAGAAAAAATGTTTTTTTCCGCTTCAGATTGATGACTACAAAGTTTGCGCAACTTCATTGTCAGTCGTGTCGATAATATGTCAGGAGAAAAAAATCTTTGTGCGTTGAAGGGCAACGATAACAAACACCATAATAGTGAGTGTCGCATTGCTTTCTTGCGGAGAAATGCAACTTGAAATATATATCCTTTTTCTCAAGAGTTGTTGCAATTAGTGATTCAAACTTATCACTTGATCTATTTAGAAGTTATAAGTTTTTTCGTTTTTCGTCGAACTGTACCGAAATCTTATTCAACAAAAGTTAATTATCAAAGTGTGCTGCAGAGAATGAAGCGGTAACTGCTGTCGATAGTAGTGACAAAGTAATCAAAACTTTTAACTCATACTTGCCAGCATGTCCCGTTACTGTTAGTTTAACAAGAGGAATGAGAATCAACTGCTTGGCAAGACGAAAAAGGGTTGCTGCTTCAACAGGCAAACAAAAAAACATCTGCGATGTCGCAATATCAACAGAGCAGATGAATCAATAGAGGAAAAGCAAAAGTAAATAGAGAATGATGGATGCTGTCAAATCATGGAGAGGAATACTAGTCCAATGCAAACCGTTGCTCGACAAAAATATCTATTAGAAATATTATTGTATGCTTCAAAACATGGCTTAGTTTTCGCTTGTATTTGAAATGAGCTTCTTTGTTCTTCATACAAATAGATCGTTTTGATGGAATATGTTGAACGAATGAAGATTTAAGGAACTTTGATGGTACAATTGATGTGATAACCCTAGGATAAGGATGTAGAGTATAGGTAATGGTGTGAATGCGATATCTGATTGTACGCTCACTGCTCTACATCCACATCCTCTCCCACACTACCACACCCCATACAAATAGCCACATCTACATCCAATTGAAACTCTTTTTCTGTTGATAGCATGAATCATACGATTGAAGTTAAGACATTTCAACTGGTCCAAGAACAACAAACTGTGCGGCATGCAGCAGTGAAGCAATAAAAGTATTGCGAAAAACTTTTTTGAATGTATGCTTCCATCCAATCCTCTATAGTTGCTACATCAGTATTGCATAATATATGCATAATTTACCTATCATCCTACAGTAACCTATTACTGTTATCGAGAGAGCAAGAAGGCTGTGTTTTAGATGTCACAAAAATAAGGTTGTATATACCGACCGTTAATCTAGTTTGGATAGCATCAACTACTGAGTCGAAATACGATTCGAAAAAGAAATATATATATTCTCTATATAACACGCCAGACTGTTCCAAATTAGACGACGAAGCAATACAATGAAGCAGCAACAGTGACTTTTGCAAATGTTTCGTATTTCATTCTTTATAGAGAACAACATTCATATAAATCAGCAACAACCAACATGAGCAACATTTTGTGTTTACAATCTCACAAATACCAGAATTTTGAAGCTCACATAATACTCCCACCGACCCATGCTTTAATTATAGTAGTCTCACTTGTTGCTTCTGGATCGTTTACGAATGCAACCTTGAACGAACTAATCGCCCATTCGAGTAAGTTCACATGTTGTAGGTAACTCCATCAGTTCGAATGATGTCCATGAATTCCAAGTGTCATAATTTGGTGGTAGTTGTAAAGTCAAAGGAGTTCGTACTGTGTATAAAAGCTTTGTAAGATAAGTGTTGTCTAGGGTAAAGCCTGGATGCTTCAGAACATACTAAATCTTATCAGTATGTTCTGGACCACTTTTGCTGGGTAAGTCATAAGCAACTATAGCACAAGTATTTTCAATTTTCTTTTTTGTGTTTAAAATCAAATGAGCTCTTAGTTTTTAGCAATAGGTATGTCGTTGGATTCTTTACGAGACAAGTAACGACTGTTGCATCATGGAATGCGATTTAGAAAATATAATGAAATATCATGTGACGCACGAAAATGGCGCGAAAATTTAATAACGAAATGGGGTTTTTTAAAAGTATTGTTTACCATAAGTTTACTTTCAAGAGACCCTTAAGTAGCCAGCACATAGATTTTGAAAAACTCTAAGTTTCACAAGTACGTTTTAAAAAATTTTTCAACTGAGATTGAAGATTTAAGAGTCCTATCATTGTCTTTTTTTTCAAGAGAACGATAAACAGAAATCATTGGAAGCTGATTCACTCATCTCCTTAGCAACTAAAAAAGAAGTGACGACTAGTAACATATTCAGTCTGAATCTTCTGCTGTACATAAAAAACCTGGTTTAATAAGTTTTGTGCATCTATCGAGACTAGTTTATACTACCAAAAACGCTTTATGAGCAAGCCTGAACTAGTCAAGACTATCCAAATATCTTGCTCTGTCTAGTTTATTTCTTTCTGTTAACTGCTTCGATTTAGATTACTCTAGAGAAAATAAATACATAAAAGAAAGATAATAAGGCGCAAATACGAGCGTTCAACAGGAAAATCCTCGTCAATCAATGACAATTCAGACTGTAGCCTAGAGTTACATCAGTTTATATAATCGTCATCATACAATGATGCGTGTCTATTCGTCAAATATATTTTAAGCGTTATAAAGAATTCTATCATATGTACACAATCTTTTCAAACAACAAAATAGTTTAAATATGTTTCTATTTAGGTTTCTCGTAGATCTGTTTTGACTTTTGACTTTCTTATCAAATTTGCCGCAAGAGTTTTCAGTGTTACCTTCGGAAAAAATTACATTCAGACGTGTTCCGAGTTTGACTTTGACAAAGAGATTTTATCTTATTCATGCACCAATACTCATAGATCAAAGTATCCTTAATATTATGCTTTTCTTCATTGTAGCAATGAATACAAGAGAAAAACTTTTCGAGATGGAATCGACCGCTGTCAATTTGTATCGAAAAGAAAAATGACTACGAATCAGAGTTGCACAAAATTTATTTTTGTCATTTATGAAACACGATTGGAAATGAGCGATGAGACATGCAGTGAGAAACTTAAATGTATCCAATTCTCCCTTATAGATCTTGACCGACAGACAGAATCGATAAAGCTCTATATCATCATAAATAGTGAGAGACAGATCTTTAAAATTTCTAATATGCGAAAAACCATGACAGAATAGACGAGTGTAAATTCAATTGCATTAAAGATCATGACAAACATGCTGATGCATTAGTTTTTGTCTTTTCGATCATTGTATTTATTATGAAAATCGTAACTTCTTCGTGCAAATATTTGTTTATTCTTGTATTGCTTGTAAAAAAACATTTTTTATTTATTTTTTTATGACTGAAAATTAAAAAAAACAGCATGTCGACGTGCCTGTTATGTTCTCTAAAGCATTAGAATATTTTTCAACATACTGGCCTATAAGTCCACAAAAACTATTATTAGCGTATTGAGATTTCTGGATTGTGATTAGAACAGTTTTATCAAGCTTCACATATTTATATTGGACAGATTACAATGAAAGCTTTTTCTTCTAGTTCGATTCATTGATGTCGAATTTCTTTTCATTCTTTCGGACATGAGTGTCGAAGGACCATCAGATTTACGTTTATTCAGTTGGAATACATTGGTACCTTGCTGAGTTCTTCCAGCATGGTATCCAACTCTGTATAAAATAGCAATCAATCATACTAGTCGACTCGACAAGATTGCCAATGGGATTTTATCACTTGAACACGATATTGCTCCGATTCAAGAGGCACAACAAGATACTATTCCGTTATTAGAACAGAAACTAGACAATGCCTAGCTGTTTCATATTGCATGGAATAATCCGACTGTGGCATCCGTAGCAAATGGTCTTTTGGCATTGATTCGGAAGGATTGAAAATATGCTTTGACAGTGATTATTATCGACGGTATTCTTGATTCGAAGAGGGAAGAAGCCATTCAGATTATAAGAATGCCTTCCGACAATACGAATATTATCAATCTCCATCTCAACTATTTGAGTCCATTATTCCAAACCAAAATGATCGTCGACAAATGCCAACAATTACTCGACGTATCTCATGTTGTCACTATTCTAGCTAGCGATTTGAATGCCAAAATAGAAGTGATCGATGGATTCGTATTGACTGGTTTTGAGGATGTTGTTAATGAATTGAATGATGACACAAGAATTGCAACGTATTATCCGGATTCAGCAAATGCAGAACGTAATAAGGCTATTGATCACATATTTTATAATCTGAATCAAATAAGACTCATAGAATGCGGCAAAGCATGGAATACTACAAAAGAATCGTTCAAAGATGCTTCGATACAGTTTGAAAATGATCATATTTATGTTTGGGCTAGTTTTAAGTTTCTTTAATAAACAGTTTCATTTTATCAGACAGCATTCGACTTTATCGACTTTCGTTTGGCGTTGACTTATGCATCTTTTTGATATGTTTCTTTCCATTTATCAAATAGCATAAGCCATAGAAAGTTCTTCCCTCGTAGAAACTGACTGAATTATATTACCCAATTGAACCAGTTGGTCGTTAACTGAAGGTAATTACATACTAGTAAAAACATTTTGTGATATCTATCACCGACAGACAGATTTCATCACAAATAATGGTGAATTTTACTTCGCTTCTCTATGAAAATTAAGATTGATCGAAGTTGAGCAATGTCGCTAGATTTGGAGTTTTTGATGAATTCTAGCGCTTTTATTCAATTCAATCAAATGCAACTTAAACATGCAATAAAATAATCAAATTTGTTTATGTCTGGCTTGAATAACAAGGTGTTTGTGCTAACAATTATACGAGACAATATCTGAATCAGTCTGCTTTCTTTGAAAAAAGCTATTATTATCGTCAATAAAAGAAAAAAATCAAGCAAGTGTCCGAAAATTCTTACACGAAGAGTTTCACTCGTCATAGACAAATTGAAAAAATGTTTTGGTTTTATTATATCACATCTTCTCATTTGCTTCATATTTCTGAGATCGTGAGGATGCGGGTATTGGGTAAGAGATATAAGAAGGCGTGCATTGACTGGAATGTGGAGAAGTGGCGGATGGAATGGATGGATGTGACTGGGGTGAGGATGTGAGAAAATGATGTAAGTGGCTACGAAAGCATAGGATGATATTTTGAGTGTGATGATGGTCTCAGACACAACATTCTTGTACAAGGTACCGTACAGTTAGCCTTAAACACCTGGCCATTATTAAAAAAGAAGCTTTTGCAAACAAGAGTTTAGGTACAATCACTGACACTACCCTTGTCCATACTGGTACATTACTTCTATCACATAAGCTGCATAATCAGCATCCACAAATTAGTTATCCATTGAATATATGTCATCAAAATGATCTACAAGCGCAATATTGCGAGTGTGAACGCTATTTTTTGGCACTGCACCCGTCCGCACTCAATTCTACACACACCTACACACACTCGATACCCACAGTTACGGCCACATTCACAATCATTTTCGTGGACACACGCACACCTATACTCTCCATTGGTTGAAAAGACCAAAAAATTGCTGTTTCATGAACAGCCGAACGAAGGAAAAATCATTCTGTAAAGTCAACATATCGGCAAAATCGATGAATCAGTAGGGATAAGAGAAAATTGCACGCGACACGATGTGTGTTGTCGGTGTATGGATAGAAATAGTCTTTTTTAGACTGCTGCTGTACAAAGATATCTATTGGAAATTGTATTCTATGTTCTAACGCACCACTACACTTTCAATTCTTGTTATAGATATCCTGTGTTTTTCCTCGTAGATGTAGATCGTTTTGATCGAAGATATTCAATGGATGAAGACTTATTGAATGTTGATGATACAGATCACGTCTCAGAACTGAGGTTTCAGTTTAAGCAAGGACAAGTGTGAGTGTAATGTAGGTATGGACGGGCATGATTGTGGGCGGGATCTCTGCCACGATGTTCGTCCACTTTCATCCACGCTTACATCCAAACACACCCACCCACACTTACAGCCTGCTATCTCTGAAACCACGGTCGCGCACAAACATCCATATCTACATCCTGCGCTCATATCTTTCTTCCAGACTATTGAAAGATGCGATGATTCTCGAAAGTATGACGTATTAGCCGCAGACCGTCTTTATATATAACTGATCCATAAGCCCTTTAGCTTGTTACGATGGTATTGCATGACCTCTAATCGATCTTCACATTCGATGAAGATACTGGCATTGCTGATGATATGACATTTTAGAATATCGGCATGAATGAGATCGCAAGCTGTCTTAACGAAGTCAAAGAAGTCGTCAAGTTACAAATCGAAGGTGTCGATTAGTAGCGAACTTATGTAGACATCATTAAAGTCAGTTATTTGCTATTTGATGATGGTGAAAGGGGAAAGGTCGAGCCAGTGTCCATTGATATGGAACGAGCCTATCAAAAGGGATAAATACAATGAAAGAGAGAACTCGCTCAATTCTTCTTTCTCTCTTTTTTGTCTCTCCTGCGTAAGGAAATTAATTTAAAGAGTCAAAATATGGCAAGTTCATCCAGTTAAAATGTCTAATGGTTTATGCACAAGATAAAATTCTACATGCTGTTGTTTAAAGTACATACATGTTTGCGTATACACGATACTATCTTCGCATTCTGTGCAATTAGAATTCACTGGTAGTAAGCCATGGGAAAATCATCTGAAACATTTCCTAAAACAGATATTAGCCTACATAACTCACTACAAACGATTATGGATAATACCGAGTGGTCCAAAAGTAAGGAAACAGAAAAAAAATTGAATATCGCCATTGTGACTTGGGTAAACGAGCTAATGTTTTTGTCAATGATAGAAGCATGTTCAAACTTTATATCCATAAAGACATGCCTAGAGAGCCGCTTTGTTAAGTATATTGTTTTTTTCCTATCTGTAAAAAAGTAATTTTTTTTTGTTGAGATCACTAGGTGATACTTAACAAAGGGCTTCTCTAGACATGTCTTTATGAATATAAAGTTTGAGCAGGCTTCTATCATTGATGAAAACATTAGCTCGTTTACTCAAGCCACAATGGAGATATTCAATATTTTTTCTGTTTCCTTACTCTTGGGCCACCCAATAGAATCCATTTATAAGATAATTGACAAGCTCGATGATTTTCCATTACCTTTCTGTTTTCTATTGATCTCTCGAAGTCTTCAGCTAATCTTTGCTAATATATCGATAATTTCAAAGTTATTTCTCCTGATCTTCCAATGATCTTAACTACTTTCTCGTAATTTCTTGAAGATTTCAAATTCTTTCTTCTGATTTATTAATCATTTCTGCCAGTTCCTGTTGACTATACGCAGGTTTCTGCCGATGGATATCAGTTTATTGTGGCCTCATGGCGATTTCTGAACGATATACGTTGACCGTTGATGATTTGACTATATTGTGGGTGGTTGAGGGTCAGAGATGCGTCGATACAAATACAACTTGTAACCGACGGTCCGCATGTCAAACATAATCTATTCGTACCTATGATTATCTATCGGAATGTAACACATTGTAATGGCATGTGATTACGAGGGTGGATGTGGATGCGGCATGTGAGTGTGAGTTGTGGGTGTGAATGTTGGCGTGGCTGCGCGTATGTGTGAGTGACAGTTTGACTGCTAGTCGGCTCTGAACCTTCCTCATAACCAGATGTGCACCACTCCACACCATACTCACATCCACCTGAGAAAACTTAGAATGCTAGAATTTATGTAACGGGCTTGTAATGGGGTTTGATTATAAATTATTACATGAATTCTAGAATTATACGTTTTTCAGGGCTATATGTATCGTTACGGCAGGTAACAAATTATAACGGCCTGTGATTGCAAGTCATCACATGGCGTTCCAAACCGTTACATATCAAAACAAAATATATAACCGGTAAAAACTTAGAATTTCAGAATTCATGTAACGGCTTGTAAAGGTATTAACGAGATGTAATTACATGGCACTGCGCCGTCTTACAAGCTATTGCATGCTTTAAGAGATGGCTACTAGTGCTACCTTCTGATAAATTTATTGAAGTATGACAGAGATTCGATTCTATTGGTCGATCGCCCATTACAATTTGTATTTGTATTCGCAAGCTTCTCATCAGGGCAAACAATAGGCCTTCATCCACTCACACCTACACCCTTGTACTTCAGTGAATACATATGAGTTTTATTCTTTCTCCCTTTTTTTGTTTCTTCTGCTTTTGACAATATGAGTTCTTCGGTTGATTCCTTTATTAAATGCTTTTATGTATATGGGTCATAAAATGTGATGTATTGGATGCAGGAATAAATAAGCAAAAAAGTTACAAAGCAAAATTTTACATGTCGTTTTTTGCATACATTTGAAAAAAATGAAAGTATGCTTTGTCCCACCCCAATATAGACCTCTGTTTGCGTGATTTCTATCTAATATTTGTCATCAACATCATCTTCGGCTTGACTTGCATTCTCACCTTGTTCCCCATCATCAAACGATCGATGACGTGTCTCCGGCAAAGTAGCAATCACACCAGCCAATACTATAGTCAGCCCAGCATAAACATAATGCGTAATTCGATCATTTTTTTTGTCGACTGCAGTATTAATAATAGGTGATACCATCGATCCGAAACTACCAACAAACACAAATATACCATTAGCTAAACCTCGCATATATGTTGGGAAAAGTTCGGGAACATAAAGCCACGAAACTGATACAGCACCACTAACTCCAAATTTACCTATTTGTGAAATCACGGTAGCTATAACGGGATAAGATTCCGTTATGAATGGTACTATCAGTATAGAAATTGCCGTCAACAGTGCAAACGAAATCAGTGAATATTTTCGTCCCAGTACTGTAGTAATTGCAAGACCAGCAGCGCAATAACCAATACCTTCGACGACAGCTCCGATAATAAAGTTCACATAAGGACTCAAAGCTTCATTCATCGCACCGAGACCATAGGTGATTTTAGTGTATAGTAACATAGTGACAAATTCGATACAGCCACACATGATCAGCCTAGGTAAAAAACGTAAAACCTTTTCTCTTCTCTTTTTCTTTGCTTTGGTTTCGCTTTTTTTTACAATACGGGATTCTTCAATCAGTTTAGTATAATGTGGAAACCATTCACTTTCTTCACGACGATTGATTTTGGCAATTTTTCGTAAACAAACTTCAAGTTCATCGTATTTCTTTCGACCAAATAACCAATAGGGCGATTCTGGAATGAAATAGAGATAAGGAACAGTGACGGCAAAATAGACGCTCATCAGCCATTTGAGATTAAGCCAATTACGAGCCGCATAGGCGAAGCCAGTGAACATGATTTCCCCTATTGTATATGCAACCATAGCAACACCAGCAGCAAAACTTGTGTGTGAAGATGATGTTAATTCCATGATTAGAAGAAAAACTATACCATAAGGATCTATACCGGACACCATTTGATTGATGATCAAAAGAATGAACCTAACAAAAAAAACAGTATTTGTTTTATTGTAGTATCACATTTTTTTTTCATATATACTTGGTATTGACGCTCATCTTGACAAATTGAAGAAGCACTTGAGTAATAGTAGTAACTGTATAAAGTCCCAAGGTCAAGCTTTGTAGAAGTCTTCTACGCCCAATTCTATCACTAATCGGTCCGGTAATTAAGACTGAGAACCTGCATGATGACATTAAAAAATTCATCGAATCAAAGTTAAACAATAAGAATATTAATTTCTTACGTTCCAATCTCGTAGACTGTCGAGATCCATGTTTTCTTTATTGCATTTCTGCACACGAACTGTGCTTCTTCTGTAAATGTTTTCCCAAAAACACTTCGATCAAATACAAAATCATTACAATGAGACCCATTGGCATATTCGCAACTAGACGACTTCATCAAGAACTTATCAATTAGATACTGATGAGTAGCATTGATTGATTGATATTGGTTATCGTCTGGCCATTCATATGACGGGAGTTGACATCGGAACAAGGGCTCGGCAAGTCCAAAAACATAGTAAAAGCCGGTCATACCGCTGCTGAAGTCGAGGAGACATAACAAGCAAAAATGCATCCATTGAAATCGACTAAAGTCTCCACAACGTCTTAGTACATTTTCCAACGATACTTCATCCATTATCGAAATATTCTTCTAGAATGTTGTGTTTTGAATGAGAACAAATTAGCAGTTATACTTTTTCTATCGCATTAATAATTTTAACTTTGTTTTTGTCTTAGCTTATTGATCAGAGAGTGTTTAAATCCTGATTCAACATAAAAGTACATTACATAGGTCGGATGCTTTATTGATAAAGATCAACGTATCTTGTTAAAGTGCTTTCTGATTCTCTTTCCTTCTTTCGTATTCTTTTTGTTTCACAAAGATCCTAATCTCTATTTACTCTCTGCTTTACTATTGTGATTAGTGTAACTGTGTAAAATAAAAAAAGAATGCTTGCTCCTTAAATATGCAAATTATGAGTGTAATTTGATGTCGTGCGTGTGATATACAAATGATTGAAAACACTTCCCATTTTTTACTTCGATGCCAGAAATTTTTTTCTCGATTCTCACGCTTCAGTATTGTACGTCTAGCAATATTAAGGATGATGTGTATTTCAAGTTGATCAGTAATAACTCTTAATAAATAATTTCGTACACTGGATGCACACACATCACACAGATATGAGAATAAAGACGAATGATATTATCAATTGAGGTTTGGATCTTTAAGAATTCACTTTCGCCATTTTGAATTTTGACATTTACTCACCAAACTAGAGACCGAAACGAATAAGAGAACTTCGATTCGATTCCCTATGGTACATACCGAAGAAAAGGATAATTTCTTTATTGTCATGAGTTTTACTGTACATATGTCCGGCATATAAGTTTACTTAAGTTTTCATGTGTCTATATGCTAAATTTTTTTTTTAGAGAAATCCGAAAGCTTGTAAAGAAATTATAGAACTCATAAGGACTTCGATTTTATAGAAAAGAAAGTTTTTTTCTAATCGATCGGTGAGAATAGTATTTTTTGAATTTGCAAAATTAACGCTGCTATAGGTATCATCTGTTTGAAATAAGACGCAGATATTAGGAAAAGGAGTATATATATGTTTAATTTCAGCTGAAGTTTATCTCAATTCCCAGATCCATACTGCAGTTGGTAACCTTTAAACTTGATTAAATCAACGCCACAACTTCTGAACTATAAAATCGCGATATTTGGTTGTCAGTCAGGTTTTTCAAAGTCAGTTTTCATTACAATTAGTGAGTCAGAATATGTAGCAGAGTGACAAGTCATCAAATCTACAATTACTTATTACTGTGATGCCGAACATGTAATCGAAGTAGCAAACACCCGGCATAACAATGATAGAAAGCTATGTATCTGTCGACTAAAAGGACGCAAAACATCGATAGTTTTAACTAATGCATAAAACAAAACGGTTCTAATAGATATGTGGAAAGAGATCTAGTTACGAAAACAGCTGCATATGGGTCTACTTCCTCTAAAATGATTAATTTTTACAACAAATCAATAGAAACTAGCTTTTTTTAAATATAATACCATCAATAGTTGACCTAATAGCCTTCTACCACAAAGAAATCAATACAATTTCCAAAAGCACAGGGTACAGAGACCATGAGCCCTGTACTGAGGTGAGCGTTATTACTTATGTTTGAGACTTAAGGAAGGAATTGCTGCTGAATCGAATAATTAGTGACCTCCTCTCTCATCTTCATATAATATAATGATCAACACCCTCACTAATGAGAAGTAAGTTGATAGCATCGATGAATAAGCAAATAATATTCGTTGAGCATTTCCTGCGTTTGGCATTCTATACTATATATATATAGTTGTTTTATTTCATATGCAATGGATCCAAAAATTGTTCATCCATCGCTCTAGTATCATTTTGTTTTTCGTACTGTGCGTCAACAAAATGAGTTACAGAGAAATCAAGCGTTCTCTATAATATTACCAATTGTTTCTGGTATATATACTGTTATATTTAGTCTTTCGCTTTCTTTTTTTCTTTCGTTTCTATTTAGTTAGTAAAAGCTTGCAGCGTAATTCGAGCAAGTTTCAAGCACGATGAAGCTGATTTAATTATAAACGAAAGCTCTCATCATGTTTATCATAGATCGTGATGAAATCAAAAGAATAGTGCTATATCTGTCATTGTCGTTGAAACAGATAAGAGGCGTATGGCTTCAACTTTCTCACTATATACTTCGACTATTGTGTTTGAAAAAATAGTAAGGGTGTCTTGAAATGAATGTATGCTAATATGTCGTTAAAAATATGTCCTTTACTAAATGTCATCGACTTTTCATTCTCATAAGACAACGTTATTGACATTTCGTCCTTGAAAAAATGTTCTTTAGAGAAAATGTCCTTAGTGGAAATGTTCGTCATCTTCAATTGTTGTTTTTGAAATATAATGTCACTGAAATGTTGATGACGGTGTAATTCAAACATACTTCGACAGATATTTAAATTATTTATATAGAGAGTTTATTTCTATACGAAATAGACCGAGTAGCAACAAAAGAAGTTTTACTGAACTGCGATTAGTTGCATCATTACCATATTTTATAAGTAATCAAAAAAAGATATTTTTAAGTAGTATTGTAAGACATAATCATAATGGATGAGACATCATCTTGATCCTCTTTGCAAACAACTGAATAAACATCACCATCCGCAAGTTCAGCTTAATCTACTATCACACGAATAAAATCAAATAAGCGAAAACTAATGTTACTTATCAATAGTTATAATTTTCAATTAAAAGGTTTAATAAAGTTACAAGTTGTAACTAAGATTGTCGCATATTTTTAGCATATAATCTGAGGTTCAAAAGACGTTTAAATAAAAGTCATCCCAATATATGACTGTTCATTGGTTCAGCTCGAAAAAAATGAATATCATCCATAATTTGATTCTTCAAATAAGTAATGCAATCCAACCTAGTACCGAATAGAGCAAGTCCAGAATAGCTGAACAGCAAAGTGAAGAATTATTTGATCGATTTCATAATAAGCAAATTACTCCACAAGAGTTATCACGAGGAGTGTCTTTTCTTGTTGTGAATGAGAAATAAAATAAAACTCAATTCGTCGTTATACTAAATTAAACTACGCGATTAACACTATCACAAAGCGTTGTTCAGATTTTACGAAAAGCAGATTTTTTCGTACGATTATAGCACTTAGAACCATTTCTCGGGAGCATTTTCCTCGAAGATATTAACTCTGAGGAACATTTTTTCAGGGACAAAAATCAGGAACATTTCTTAAATGACATTTTAGACTGTTACCTTTGGAAATTTCATCGTGAAAAATGACTCGTCCAATTTCAAAAAATATAGGGATCTAGAAGTTCGTAAATAAATATGTTTTAAGGCTATGTGTAAAAATTCACCAGTCCAGATATCACCTACAACATTTTGAAAATAGCATTGGTTCAAAAAGGCCATTAAGCGGGAACCTTTCTCTGAAAACTATTTTCTAAACGGTACACCGAATGTTAATGAAAATTTCAGTAAATACAGGAAGTGATATAACTAGCATATAATAAAAATTTGAACCAATCATTTCTCATAATTAAGGTGTTATGCAGACTTTAGTCCTAAAAACGGGGCTTTGGCTCGGAACCTTTTCACGGTACCGGGTATTACAGATGATGAGGATACTTACTTCAAAATGAAGGAAAAACTTGTACCTACAAATTGTTAAAGAAGTTTTTTAAAATTCATTTTCGTTGAAATGTAGTGGTCATTTTAAACTGAGAATCACAAAAACTGTTTTGAGCTCTTTGCAAGATTTTTATGTATTTGAACAACGAATGCATATTTTAGAAATCTGTCCCGATAATTTGTAGAGAAAAGTTTGATCTTTTGAATAAGAAAGAAATCAGCAATATGCATTAAAAGATGAATCGGCAAAATGTTCCGAAGTGGTCAGAAAATGATAAAAAAACGAAGTTGAGAAAGACGAATAACAATATCGTGAATTGATTTTCAGTGTATTTGTGTAGAAATATACAACATGTTATATCGTTGGAAAATGCGCAAAATATTCTTTCATTTTATGGTATTTGTGATAAAAAAATAAAACAAATTTCCAAATTCGAGTTTACTATAGCGCCACCTTTTCCAGAATTTGCACTGTTTTGAAGCTACAAAACCTTTTTAAAACCACCAAAACAATTTCAAAGTATAATTAGTCGATATTAAAGTTACGAAAGAGTACCGAGCAATATGAACAAACAATATTTTGTAGTTTCCGGTAACTAAGAAAAAATCATTCAAATAACCTATTCTCGTATATCACGTTGGAATATACGCGCAAACCTGGGTAAAATATGTTTCATTCATTTATAATTTATACA